AATATATACTGTTGTGTCTACATGTCATTAACTAAATATGCACTACAACAAGCTCAAAGTTTGTTCAGAATCAGCTTCTTATCACTGGTAACAACGCAGCTTTCCTCTCACTCATTCCCGTAGCTTCACAGTGCTTTAAACAGAGTGGACGCTGAGCTTCCACAGAGTTCAATAGCGATGCAAAGACTGCAGCAAAACGAGCGCAGTCATTGGATAAATGCTGGGCTTTGTCCCGACCATTGGACGCTGAGCGTCTTTGGGGGTCTATGGGGCAGTGGGCTGGCCTTGGCTTGCCTGGGAAAATTTTGTAAAAAATCTACTCAAAACTCTGCATTTTCCAGTCATTTGAAGAGAATTTTATAAAACTCTTGGAATTAATAAAACAAGATAAAATCAGCATTTTATGAAGGTGAAAACCAGACTTTAACCTGAACTTTATCTGATATCATAACTGAAACTTCCATTATCTTTATTTTATTTTCTACTTTCTATAGACTAAATCAACTATACTCTGATAAAAAGGTATAAAAATGTATTTTTCAGCAAATTCAAGAGGGACTTGGATACGACGTGTGATCGTTGTGGACGGTCTTCTGCTGTACTTTTGCATACATTCTGGTCCTGTCCAAAGCTACATGGATGCTGGCGGGGCATCTTTGACGCCTTTTCGGGACTATTTGGATGGGCTGTTCGTCCGTCGCAGTTCGTCTCTCTCTTTGGGGTGGCTCCAGCGAAGGCTTCTTTCGGTGAACATCGGAGGACGGTGTTGGCTTTCTGCTCTCTGCTGGCTAGGGGACTTGTTCTTCCTCGATGGAGGGATCCATATCCTCCAGTGTGTGTGGTCGTTGGTTGGGAAAGGTTGTGTCTTGCATTCATTTGGAGAGGATTGGATGTACTGTTGGGGGATCTGTGGACAGGTTTTTTTGACATTTGGCGGCCATTTGTATCTTGTGTGGAAGGAATTTCGGCAGATGATTCTGTGTAAAGGTTGAATATTGTTTCATTATACACAAACCTGTTCATTGTATCACTTGTATGAATACAAGATTGATTTTTGTTGTTTCAGTGGATCCCGTGTGGGAGGGGAGGGGTGGGAGAGATTTTGGGTGTGTGTGTTTTGTTTTGTGTTTTTTTAAGTCTGTTCTTTTTGTGGTTTGTTAAAAAAATTAATAAAAAGAACTTGCTCAAAAAATGTATTTTTCATGCCCCATTTTTGGTGCCTCTTAGTTGGAAGGTGCCTTTTGCATATGTCTACACTGCCTATGCCACGGGCCGGCCCTGTCATGTAATGTTGCAAAATGTAACACAATCTATTAGCTCTTGAAGTTTGTGATGTGAATGACTCTCAGTTATAGCCTCACTAAATATGACCCTATTATTTGCATGACTGAATGAGCTACAGCTAATTTTTTGTGCTTGCTAAGGTTGCTTAAATTTGGCCACCATTTTGAAACTTTTTCTGGKGTTTCACTACATCCAGTGGTTCATGAGATATTTTGCTAACAGACAGACAAATGGCAGTGAGCATCATTAAAAGCGGAGAAATTACTTCCCTAACCTGGTTCGATGCTGATGTCTACAGAAGAAACAYGGAAGCCATTATGGTTTGCAATAACGAGCGGCGAATAAACGCCTGCTCACTGAGCACTTTGTATTCGATGATATCAGCTGAAAAATAGCAGCTTAAATGTACCTTGCACTCACGGCTTCGGCGTCATTCGTGTGGCTGTAAATGAAACTGTGGCTTATAATTAGGCTCACACATCCTTCATCAACCTAATGTTATATTTATCTTTTTAGACTAAGTGCGGTCTTTAAAAATCCATCACTCAAATTTATCCCTTCGGCATCCATCACGCCGGTAATTTTAATACAGCAGATTGCAGTTCAGTCGTGATTTAATATGTTAGCATGAAACTCCTGGTGTCTGAGGTAATTGATAACTATCTGTGAGCAGCTTTGTTTTCTGATTAATTCTGCAGCCGCATCATCTCTCTCYGTGCAGCTGAGGAAATTGCGAGCAACGTTTCTCCTCCGCTGCCTGGTGTGATTGGGCTGGAGTGCTTTTCCCTGCAGAGTCAGCATCACTTCTGTGACTTCTCGAACAAATCCTGAACAGGTACAGTAAGCAACAATCTCACTTCCCTGAGCCTCTACAACCGCAATTCCAGTGATGTTGGGAGGTTGCGTAAAACATAAATGAAAACAGAATACGATAATTTGCCAATTCTTTTCAACCTATATTCAGCTGAACACACCAAAAAGTCAAGATATTTAATGTTCAAATAAATAAACTTTTTCCCTTTTTTTTTTCAAATATTCACTTTTTAAATTTGACGCCTGCAACATGCTCCAAAAAACACTGAGACATGGTCAACAAAAGAAAGGGATGAATGCTCAAACCTGTTTGGAGAAATCCACAGGTAAATTGGAAATGATTGAGTAAAAAAGAGAGCATCCTCGAAAGGCATTCACAAGCAAGCATGGGGCGAGGTTCACCACTTCGTGAACAAAGTTCAACGCACAACTGTAAGAAATTTAGGGATTTAATCATTTACAGTCCAAACGATCATCCATAGATTCAGAGAATCTGGAGGCTTATTTCAGCAAGACGATGTCAAGACACATTCTGCACGTGTTCCAACAGCGTGGCTTCGTAGTGAAGGACTGTGGGTACTAGACTGGCTGATCTGCAGTTCAGACCTGTCTCCTATCAAAAATGTGTGGAGCATTATGAAGGACAAAATACAGCAACGGAGACCCCGGATTGTTGAGCAACTGAAGTTGTTCATCAAGCAAAAATGGAAAGAATTCCACCTACAAAGCGTYAATAATTAGTGTCCTCAGTTTCCAAACTCTTATTGAATGTTGTTAAAAGGAGAGCTGATGGAACCCAGTGGTAACAATTCCAGCTTTTTTTAGAATGTTTTGCAGCATCAAGTTCAAAGTGAGCGAATTAAAAAAACAATAAAGTTTATCTGTTTGAACATTAAATATTTTGTCTTTGTAATGTATTCAAATTAATATAACTGAAAATGATTTGTAAATCATCATATTCTGTTTTTATTTATGTTTTACACATTGTCCCAACTTCACAGGAATTGATGTAATTTCCTTCCAAAAAGCCATAGTCAGCATGTTTTACTAGAGATATTTAAGCATAAACGTTTTATTTTACCTGGCTTAGTTGGGTCTCAGAGTTCACAAAGATCTCACACGCTTCACATTGGAAGTTCTTGCTGGGCACGCCGACGCTGCCTTTGCTGCCGAGCCGCTTGCTCTTGCAGCYGGCTCGAGCTGCCACCACTTTCCCCCTGCGTCGAGGCAGAACGACGTGACCTTCCAGCATCAGTTTGTGCTTCGTACCTGGAACAGCGAGCAGAGACTTGACAGCTTCTATTTTCTGTAAAAGTAATAGCTCTGAGGCCCAAAAAAATCCCCGTCAAATGTAAAAAGCTTTTGAAAACATCCTGCTTCAAAAGAAAACGTGTCAGGTCATGCTCTTACCGCTGTTGTGCGCATCCAGCTGGGAGACGGAGTTGACTGTGACTTTGCAAACAGGACAATGAAGGTGAGCTTTGCTCTTTTTGGCCTCTTTGTTGTCATCTGTGCGCGGCTCTCCATCCGTGACGGACGAGTCCGCGACACCGCCGGACTCGATGCTCAGACTCACAACCTTTGTGACCTCTGTGACCTCTACCACCTCCGGGGCGCCGCTGTCGGACGCCGTCTCAGAGAGCTGCAAGGATGGAGATATCTGAGGAGGGGAAAGGGTGACCGTGTCCACAGAGGAGACCTCGGACATGGGTGTCAACATGAGCGAGCTCCTGGGACTCTSGTCGAGTTTCCCTTCTAGGATGGCTGGTTCTGGATCAGACTGAAGACCTGCACAAAAGAGAAGAATGTTAGCAAACAGTGCCTTTCTTAATAAACAGGGGCGGAGCTAGACTTTTTTGCAAGGGGTGGCCATGTTGGGTTTTTTAGAGGTGCTGTGGCTGCCCGATCTGTTCTGGTAGCACGATCCGTACTGTTAGCTCTTTTACGCATGCACTAAATGTTAGACTTCTGGAATGTGCTCGATTTAGTAAAAAAACAAAAAAAGAAGAAGAAGAAAAGAATTATTTCTATACTTAATTATAAAGGTGTGTTACATTATATTTTGAAAACAGTTTTAATATTGTATACATAAGTATATATTTACGATGCGTACCTATTTATTTATAATAACTTACAAACTATTTTCTAGACAATCGTGTTATAACGCATCTTATCTTCATTTTATTTTGTTCCTGGAATAAAAATACACAGCTGTTGCAAACAATGCCTTTACTATGAAACATTGCTGGTGATGAAAGACTGAAATCCAATGAATTCTGTCATCAGTCTAGCGAAATGCTACATGCTAAAAACAATGCTTTCAGGACAGTACGGATCAGGYAGCCACATGCGCATACACAAATAAAGAAAACTACTCTGGATCTGAATATTCAAGATGGCTATAACTCAGCTATTTTTAGACATATAAAGCTGAAATTTGCTGTGGTTGGAGCTGCAATCACCACCATAATAGTACAGTTACATCATGAATTTACCTGCCAAYGTTTCACAAAGAACTCTTCTAGTAACTTCATTCTATTGCTTTGTTAAAGTGCCTGTCACATCAAATTTTTGTAATAAATGTGAATGTATTTTTGGAAAAAAAACATTGTCAACATACTGTAAAAAAGATTTCATGTCGCCAAGATGAGCAGCTGTTGAGATATTTGCGTGTGAAGTAACAGGAAGTGATGTCAAAGGGTAATGTCTGAATGTTAAGAGTGTTGCTAAAATGGCTAACAGCCCAGACTGTAGAGAAGAATCTGTTTCTTTAGATTATTTTAATCACCATCTTAGAGAGATGAGGAAGAGTCATAGTTCAAATAATATTGTTTCAATAAACGAAAACCAGGAAGATTTCTTTCTCAAAGTGTTCCCCTTTGATGTCACTTCCTGTTTCAATTTAATTGAGCCAAATTCAAAAGAAATGCGCCAATTTTGTGACATAACGGGTAAAATCATGTGTATTATGCCAAGTTTCTTAAATACAAATATATTTTCTTTGACTTTTARTATTTCATGGATATGCATGTCACAGGAACTTTAAAGAATAGCTATGTTACCCAATTTATATAAACTGACTCTTAAACCCAGAATCATTGCCCATCTTTAAATGTGATTCCCACCCAACTTGTCAATCATTTGCTCTTGCTCCGCCCCTAATAATAAAACTCCTTGTTGTCAGCTACCACAACCCCACACAGACTAAAACTATAAGCCATTTAATATTTGAGAGTATTTTTTTATTTAGTAAAACATGGAAGTTATGTTAAGAGTTAACAGCAGCTGAATTTTATCTTAGTGACATTTGCATTTGCTTCAGGAAAATATTTGCCCTTCCTCCCTTCCCTCTCTTTCACACTCACTCTTCAAATATCAAGTGGACCTGGAGTCTCGGTCAATACAAACAAACCCATCGACTTTCGGGTCCCACCGATAAGTYACTGGAGCTCCATTACACCCCTGTCCCCCCTCACCCCGATGGTCTCCCATGGGAGTCGCACACACTTCACCCCTGAGCTCTGTGCGCTGCACTCGCTGAATATCTCCACTTCATTTACCGGGCCTTCTCGACTCACAGAGGCAGCCCACCTCGGTGCAGCCGCTGCTCTATTGATTTTCCTTTACGTCTCAGAGTAAATTCATCATTAGAGATAAGGCTCTTCCTTTCTCATTCCTGCTTGGGTAAAAGAAACTATACAGGTGCAAGATTAGGCAGACCCCTCACTGCAATGAGAGTGACCCCTGAGGGAGCTGAGCTCTTTTTTTTTGTGTGTGTGTGTGTGTGTGTGTGTGTGTGTGTGTGTGTGTGTGTGTGTGTGTGTGTGTGTGTGTGTGTTAGACCCTAACACACTGTGTTAGGGTATCCTGAGAGATTATAAAAAAACAAGTCCACCTGAGAGGTTTCCAGTGATACTGATCAGTGGGTTTGCAGAGGAAAACATGGAGGTTAGTGAGAATCAAAGCACTCAGATATTCAATGRCTGAGATCAAAAGGGAATTCATTTAGACATTATTATAAAATATCCCCGCTGAGGTTCTGTTTGAGCTAAAACATACCTTTTTATATTCTGTTCAAACAATACCTTTAATGAAAAAGTTCAGCAGTGAGTTCCGTTAAGAAAGAACGAAACAATTTGCATAAAAATCTGGCAAGGCACACTTTTTTGTGGCCTTAATTTGACTGGTTTGTGATGGACAGGATGTTTCCTCATTAATAACATGGTTTTGATAAATCCTGTGATCCTTCCTGCAGCTCAAATGTCTACATTAGGGGTCCCCAAATGGCAAAATATCGACTCAGATTAGTCATTAAGTTTATAAAATACATGTTTTCTGTAGTTTTTGCCAGTGAAAACCTTTATACAGACTTTGGAGATTTTTAAATGAAGCTAACCAATCTATATGACTGCCGAAACTGCCAGAGCAACAACGGGCAGCATTTTGGCAGCTGGTCCTCTGTGGAGCAGAACTAGACACCAGCAAACAAGGGGGCGTCTGGATAAATGTTGAGCAGATAATCTGCAGTTTTCATTATTGTGAAAAGAATTGAATTTATGCTTTCAGCAGTCCAGTCAGTTCATAAGAGCTTGCTTGTCAACAGATTGATCTGCTGAGAGCTTCAACCACATACCAATAGCGGACTATGAGCGGCCTCATTACAGACTCCACGTTCAGACAGTGAGCACTTGATTTAAGAGGCAGGCACTGATCCGAGGCAGCCTCGGAACATAAACAAATTCCCCAGGGAAACATACTTGCTTTAAATCATCATTACTGTGGTGGCAGACAGAGTCCCCGCAAAAGATGACTTCAACAGCGGAGTCAATCAAAGCCGAGGGTGATTGATGCTTGTCGTGATTCATGGTGGCTCTGGGTCTCCTGGCGCCGGCTCAGCGCTCTCTCACATTCGGGGATCATTGTCCTTTGGTAGTCTGAGGCATGGTTTATAACAATCGATCTGTCTCTTTGTGCGACTGGTATTTTCAGGTCTGCTCGTCTTGTTCCTGTCTGAACGACTCGTAATGTCCGAGACGACAGAATATCTATGAAAACCACTGCATGGATTTTAATGAAAGAATAAGCGATCAACTTTTAGAGCCAACCCATTTTAAGATGGCGGCTACAGCTAACCAACCTTAGCCATTTCACAACAAATGTCTCACAAAAGGAGAATTCACAGACTAAGAATAAAAAGACTCAATTGGGGGACAGAATGGTTTAAAAGGAGACATCCTGTATTTAAATCATTCAATTAGGAACCTGTCCATCCAGCCTTACATGTTGGAGTCAGAAGCTGAGTTTCCATTGCAAATGTGTGCAAAACTTAGTCAATATTTTGTTAATGTCGAAAAAAAGTTTCGCAATTGCGGTGTTTCCATTAGGTAAGAAATGCTATTAAAGTCACGCGTGAATACATATGTTCTCGCGATAAGTCATTACAAACATGGCGGCAACRGATGTGAACACATGCTTATTGCAACCACGACACTAGCGTTCATCATCARCCATCAGAGGAGACATCGGCGTCATTTCAATGTATTCGAGCAACAAGCCCCCCCATACTTGGGAGCAGCTGTATGCGTTATTTTTGGGAAATTGTAGTCGGTGAGTTTACTACTTACTTTTACTACTTCAGTGATTTTACTACTACTTCTACTTCCTGTTGTCTTCTTCGTCGTCTTTTTCACCAGCAGAAACAGCTGGTTGTTGATCACGTGACTCCCGTGATGCGAAAAAAGTGTTTCCATTGCAGTTTTGCGAAAAACACCAATTTTGATACGGCCGAAAAACCACCTCAKCCTAGYGCAAAAACATTTTGTCAAAAAAATGAAGTTTTTTTTAATTGACTTGTTTCCGTTGAGCAAATTTATTTTCGAAATTATAATTTGTGCATTTTCATGGTCAATGGAAATGCAGCTAGTGACTGTGTCCAAACTCAGGGGCTTAGTCTTTGAAGGACTCAACCTGCCCGGTCTAGGTGGGTCGAGTCCTTGGTCGACATTAAAGACTGGAAAAAAGTGGGTGCCTTCAGCATTATTCCCACCCTTACCCTGACGTATGTCCTGTTGCCTAACAACTGTGACGATGCTAAACAGAAGCAAAAATACATCAAAATTAGCAAAAATCTGTATTACAACAGACCCCATATTTGTGAGGGGGCTCTATCTAAAAAGGGGGTGTCTGGACTAACAAAAATGCTTAGAATTCAAAAACTATTCAACATAGGAGCTTCAGATTTTTTTTGTTGTTTAGCTCTGATGAAGGGCTATCAATCGGGCCCACCAATGAGCCCCCCCCCAACCCTCCAGACCCCCACCCAAAATAATAAATCTGTTCTGGTGAGCTTTGACTTCTAGTGAATTGGTGCTTTGTGTACATGCGGCGATCACTTATGCTCATGTGGTATCAAGCAGTGCCTCAAACTGATACTTGTGTAAAAGTACAAGTACCTTATCATAAAATTACTTTGGTAAAAGTTAAAGTCTCCTCTAAGAATATTACTTGAGTAAAAGTCCTAAAATATTTGATTTATTTTGTACTTAAGTATCAAAATTAAAAGCATTGAGCAAAAGAGAGTGGTTAGATTTTCCAAAATACATTTATTGGGAGGTGACCTCTCAAAAACAAAACAAAAACAAAAACATTTTTTTAAAGGCCTACAGCTGTGATGGATTGTGTATACAGTGTCAGAATGGTAAATATTTATACTTCTCATCCAACCACAATTAAAYTCACTTTATCCAGGTGCAGTTTTTCAGGATAGTTTTTTTAAACAATAATGAGCC